AGAAGACTTGATGATCGCGCAATATCTAAGAACATACTATTGTTCCCAGCAATCAGAAGTCTACATCCCCCATATAAATCACTGGAAAGATGGTAATTTTCTAAGCAATTTTCAATGCAAATTGATATTCTTTGTCAAATAATGATTGAATTTCTATAAATATTCGTCTAATCTGGTTATATAAATTGTATTGCAATTGCCCCTCTTTTCTGAAACGTGGCATTACAGTAGCTAATAATCTTTTTCTATGTTTACATTGTACAGAGTGTGGAAGGGTCCATGGCATCACCCAGTTCACAGCCTCAGACAAAATCAACTGTTACATGGCTTCTAACTGTACAACAGTCACATGTTGTATGTTTGACAGTGTTCTGTCCAGAAATATAGAAGTCAGTCTGAAAATTGATTCCTGTAGATTCAGCATGAGAGTGACAATTGAAAAACAAATTTTTGATATAAGTTTATTGGACATTAAGTGGGGTGAGTTTTAATGTTGTTACAAACACAACATATTATGTTTTTATTATTTGATATGAATGTGACATATTTTTAAAGAGTTGATCTAAAAGCCATGTCATTTTATCAATCCAGAGTAAATTATAAAAGTTGAATAAATATGAAATTAATATCTAAACCTAAACCATTTCAGTTTGAGTAAGAAGCACTTTTCTGTAGTTCTGTTTACAACTCACCTCATTGTAGCTGGGAAAAGTATGTTATACCCTGAGTGTTGGAGTCTGCATCCCAAACTTTTGCTTTTGTAGGAATTTTCATTTTGAGAAATTTTATACCTTACATTAATCAGAGATGCATGGAAAATGCTTTCTGTGTGTTTCTTTGTAATAATGAAGGTTTCAAATGCTGCACTTTCAGCTAAAGAATGACCGGTCTATGTTTTGGAAACTTGTTGAATTTTTTGAGCAGGTTTTCATTTCTAAGTTACTGTTAGCCTTATATTGACCAAACTCCAGGATGATACACTACATAGGATGTTGGATTTGACCTACATGTAGTCATGTACACTATATACAGGTTCATTCTAAAGTAACTATAAGCCCTTTGTTGACCAAACCAAACTTGCATGGACCATGCTTGCTTCTGATGCTGGATCTGTTTACTTTTTCCAGTTGAGTAACTACATATAGGTTGAAGTTTTAAAAGCATGTTTCTTTCTAAAGTAACCAGTTGCCTTACCTGGACCAAAATGCCTGAATGATACATATAAAACACATACTATTTGAAATTTTCTGGCTCTGATGCATTTTCTAATTGATTGACCAGGTTAAAATTTAAGATGTTTCTGTCAAAGTGACTATAGACTTTAACTGAAAAAACATTTATTGATGCATACAACCAGTGTACGTTGCTATGGATGAGGGATTTGACTTACATTTTCACTTTAGTGGACAAGTTGAAGTTTCTTTAAGAGGTCCATGACCAAGAAACTATAAAGACTACCCTCACCAAACTTGCATGGATGATCCTTCAAGGGATAAACACTCTGAAACTTGCTGTAGATGCTGGATTTGACTTAACACTTTCAGGATTAGTGACCTAAGTTTTTCAATAAGTCCATTCCAAAGTAACTACACTATATGAAGAAAATTGCAATCTTGCATCTAGGGATACAAACTACTAGATTACCAGTTTGGTGCTGACTTTGCCCTATTTAAAGACTTTCCTGTGGTTAGCTCTGTATTCTCTGATAGCCTATGTTTGTTGTTCTGAAGAGGAAAATAAAGCACTGATTAAACATTGCCACATTAGAAATACCATTCATTGGAATCTCAGAAAAACCATCATGATGGCTCTTTAAAACACAGTTGATATTATTCAACAAATCTGATGACAATTCAGACATTAAAATTGGTACTGTAACGGTTGAATCGTTTCAGTACAAACACAATTGTAGCCAAATCACAATATAGTCAGCAAATTTTTATTTAACTGTCAGCAAAAATTGTTAACTATTCTTTGTAAAATTTTATGGTTATGATGAACTTGCAAATAAAAATTTATGGATATATAGCAAAATGATTTTCTATCCTGTATTTTTCTATTTTTATACATATATTTTTTTTTTCCATTTTAGGAGAAGAAAGTAAGGTAGACATGTATGGGGTGTATGTTATAAGGTAAATGCAATATAATCTTTAGGTTCATGTTCAAAATTACAGTTTAAGTTTATTATCAAGAGAGTTGGCAAGATTTTAATTCCCCTGGAGCAAGTCTTATTTCTGGCAGATTTGCCTTGCAAAATAGGTTTGCTTTAGGGAAGTGAAATTTTGCTCAAAATAAATGAATAAATTAGATAGAAAGCATTCCATTTGAGTTATCGTTGTATAGTGTAAATGTACAATGTATCTGCGAGAAATTATCTGTTTATTAGATAAACAGTTTTTTTGCTTTGAAACAAAGGTACATGTCCATTATCTGTTTCACCACACTGATGACACAATCACTTATCATTAGGCAAAAATAAAATTAAATTTGACCTGAAAAAATTTTATTGACCAAAAGTTGATTTTTTTGACACAATACAAAACACATTATGACAAAAAGTTACTCTTTTTTTTAAAAGTTGAAAATGTATGTACTGTTCACTGAGATTTTTTTTATCAAAAATTTAAAATTATCTTATAAATAAGGCTCTGCCTCCTGTGTTGAACTATTTAACTTAAAAAACAATTTTTTAATGGTGGCCTTATGACAAGTTACTCATTCACTATATAAATAATATATCTATTTAACAGTGAATATTATATTTATTTAGAATATTTTAGACCAACACATGATTAAAAGTAAACAAAACTGCAAGGTGTTCTGAATAAGTTGTATCAGTTCATCAAACTTGAGCACATTTTTGCAGGGATTTAATCTTTTTATAGTGATTGTCAGGGAATCAAAAAACTGTATTAATTTACTTATAAGTAGTCAAAAAATCAGTCGAGACCTGGTATATATTTCTGAAGTATACATACCAACACTGAGTCATTATTTGCTTTCTTGCAGAATGGTGATGCAGAACTTTTACAATGAACACAAGTATCTTCTAAGTATGAACATCAGTCAGTGTTATGAACCAGAAAACTGTGATGTCCATCATGTACTGTTCAAAAACTCAGTCATACCAAAAGCTGTCTGTGATTGGTCCATTGACTATCAAATAAAAGGTTTGTCAAAGGTTCTTCACTTTTCCTTAAAATGTTGAAATTTATGCCTGCAAACAACATTTCAAGGTGTATTTCAGAATCCCCTAGTACATTTGGCTGTCTGTAGGTTTTTGCTATCTTGCACATGTTGTAACTGAAATTGAGACTCATTAGAAGCTCATATTGGGTACAAAGATTGTTTATGACCTTAGGTTAAGTTATGATCTTAATCCAAGGACATTTTCTAGCAAGTTCAAGGTCACTTGCAGGAATAGTGGAAAATTCTTGGTCTGCAACTTCTTTATCTAATGTAAGTTTATATTTCATACAATGCAGTCATTACTATTTCAAGGTGAGTGAATTCTAATTCCTAGGTATGTCCTAGCACATATACAGTGTTCAACAATGTATTCAACAAATAAAATTCATTAATCTTTTAATCTCCCTGCCCATGTTAATGGTGTTCCAGGTGTCAGACATAGTTTTTACGCATGAGAAAATGAGAAAAAAATGCATGGCATGTAGATATTCTCAGATGTACACATATATTTTTACAAGGTTGAACGAAGGGAAGTCAAGGATACCAAGTAGAATCAGTTATAACATGATTAAATTTTAAATGACATGTTTTTTTTAACTGCACATTTACTTGATCCTGAGTTCTTTTCATAGTCAAAGATTCACTTTTTGCTGTAAAAATTTTAATTTTATAAAATCTGAAATTTGATGTATTTTTTTTTTTTTTTAGACTTTTCATTATACCTTTGGAAGCTGAATAGAGGCCTTGATATGAGCACAGATGGAATAGGAGATACATACATACCACAGTTGATGGAAGAACTTGGTATTGCATCATACTCCCATAAGCCAATGTGTTCAGTTTCACCTGGCAATACATTGGGGAGAGTCAATGGATGGACAACAGGTTAATGAAAGGAAACAATATAACTAGCTTCATTACTGTCTTATAAATACTGTATATTAGGCAGAAATTTTAGTAAAGATACACATTTAAATTTTTTACTTCAGTGTTGAGATAGCTAAAATCACATATTGCTATAAATTCATTCCATATTGGAGGTTACCATCATCTTTCTATTTAGGCATAACAAAATCATCAAATTACTTTTTGATAAAACTTAATGCAGATTTATAAGGAAAATATTTATTTAATGTGCATCTCACTAAAAATCCACCTATACAGTAAATTAAAGAAAATAATTAATCTTGATATCTTAACATTATTTGATTGGTAAGTACATGTACTTGTATTTTTTGCACAAGTAAAAGTTTAGTCCTATTAGCTGTGTTTTATTTAAAAATTGTTTTTTTTTTCCTCAAAAGATTGTGCAATGAACATCAGCTTACCCACACTAAATCACAATGTAAACTGTGATATGCTGTCCTCCTGTACTGGAGTGAGATGTTGTGTGCATGCTTCACTTCTGAAGAGGAACTATGAAGTCTTCTTCAGCATTGACCACTGTACCAGCAGCCTCAGCATACAAATTGAACAGGTGTACCATAACCAAACTCTGGCTGGACTTCAATGGGGTATGATTTAACCTTTTAAAATTCATTGTTACAGTATGAGTCTTTGCAAAATTTAATAATTAAAACTCAATAATTTTTAAAAAGTTATAAAAACTCGTCTTTACAAGGAAAGCTTGCATTTAAAAAGTCAAAATTAAATTTCCAGGGATTCTTAATTATTGATGAATACTATACTTTAAACCAACTTTCAGTTTTTGCAAGACATAATCAGCCTTCCTGTTCTTTGTAAATCAGTGGAGCCACAGTTTTATTGGAGGCTTAATTCTGATTAATTCTTTCATTTCTTCTCCACTAAATGACGTTTCAGTTGGTGTAGCATTATCATGTGTTTTGGTTGAAGTAGAGCTGGGTATGGACCAGAGATTTCATATTGCGATATATTGCAATATTTTTACTATGATAAGTAACCAAAAGAAAAAAATCTTGTTGATTTTATTTAAGTTATGTTCTGAAGTAAACCCATAAAACAGCTTCTTTATTACTGTTTAATTGGCTTCATTACGAACCTTTCATTCATTTATTTATATTTAATGATGAAATTCCTTAGTCTAAGCATTTTGCCAGTATATCAATATGACAAAAATGTATTGCAATATGATATTTTTTGTCATTGTATTACAATATACTGAAAAATATTGATATTTTTGCCCAGCCCTATTGTCAGCAAGTATTTGATAGTCAGCTTATAGAAAACAGGAGAAATGATAATTGATGTTTTTTTTCTAGGTAAAGCGTATGATTTCAAGCTGCTGGGAGTTTACAGAATCAGGTCTGTTCATTGTTTTGTTAATGTACACTATTAAGTCTGTTATTTATAGATATTAATATTATGATTTATCGAAAAGTAAATTTTACTATTTTTGTTCATGCATCGCATGTTCAGGTATATTGTGTATGACCTGCCAGAGGAAGATGTCTACCTACTTTCCCTGGATGTGATGGACTGCTATGAATCTACCAATCCTCAGTGCAGTACAACGGCAACCTTTACTGTGTTCAACAAGGCAGTCATTCCCAAAGCTCAGTGTTCCTGGGATCAGAGTTATAGAATAAAAGGTAAACAGAATTTAAAATTTCATTGTATGTACCTATAGTTGTAAAATTACAAATATCTTTTATTGAACTTACATGTGTGTTTTCTCCCATTTTCAGATTTTTCTCTCAAATCGTGGCTAGCTAAAAATCAGCAGGAAAATGCATCTGACCTCCTCACTCATGACTTTAAACTTGTTCAACTGCTGGATGAGCTTTCAATATCACAGTACTTTGAAATGTCCTCTTGTAGCATATCCAGCCTGAGCTCAAGTTTTGGATGGACTTCTTGTAAGTTATTTTTATGCCCCCCTTCGAAGAAGGGAGGGCATATTGCTTTGCTGCTGTCCGTCGGTCTGTCGGTCCACTTAGTTTCTGTTCATTTTCTTCACAACCGTCGCACGTACTGAAATGAAATTTGGTATACAGATTTATCAGAAGAATATCTAGGCCAAGTTCTGTTTTGGATAAGATCGTGTTATTTTTTACAGAGTTATGCCCTTTGGACTTAGAAAAATTCCAATTATAATCTATCCATTTGTCCTTAAGGAGATATGGGTGGACATGTATCCAGTTAAAGATAATTAATGAGCTTAGTGTGGGAAGTTGGGCATCTCTGATCATGTGTTATCTATATCTCCTGAGAAATCCACAACAGAAGGAAAGATTTCTCTTCTCTAATTCTCTTAATTGTAATTTATTGCCTGTCAAAACATTTATTTACCAGCCTTTTTAAAAAAAAAGAAGAAAGAATGTGATAGTTAATAGTAAAATTAATTTGATTTTTTATGTTAAAGTGTATTTATATGTTGTTTTTTTTTAACAGTCAATTTACAGTGTCATGTCGCACAAAGATGACAAACAGTTCAAATTCATATTTTCAATGTAATAAAAACAATGTAATGAATTTAAAGTCAAGAAGAAAGAAAATGAAAAATGTTTCAGTAGCTACAACAAATTCAATCTTGCATTTAGAAGAAATAGTTTTTGCATGTCAATGCATGCACCCTATATTATTGTTCAAGATACCCATAGGAACAATAAATAATGACAAAATTTTGGAGAGAAAAGACCATGATTCCCAAAAGGTTTGATGATGGCTCCTTGATGAAGTTGGGAGAATATCACACCTGTTACATGTATTTATACACAAAGCTTTCAAACTTGGCAAAAGTATACATCTAAAGTAGAAGGTGTGTCGCGGCCTATTTCAAGGTCACTGTGACCTTTAATTTAAGGGAATTTTTAAAAAAAATTTAAGTCTTTTAAATTTTAAATTTCATAATCCTAAAAAATGGAAAAATATAGTTGTATCCTTATTAAAAATGTTAAATTAAGTAAAAACATATTTTTTCATCATATACTTTACAGCAATCTGTAACAAATGTCAATGTTTTGAGAGGAATTCAGTTTGTCCCATGGGCATAATTATCAAGCAGTGGTCAAGAAGAATTTTGATAGCAGAAATGTGCATGTCAAATTAGAGAGAAATTAAGTTTATCGTCAGGAGCTAACTGGTAATCTCTAGATCTGATCATGCAGCTGCTTAATTTATCTCTTGGGAGTTGGGCAAAAAGAATTGGCCTCATAGTTGCTTGTGTTAATTAAGAGTTCTTAATGACTGTAGTCCAGATAAAGATCAATCAATCGGTGTAATGTAATTAAAACAAATTGATGTTTTAGTGTATGATTAAAACTAAATTAGTATTGTATAATATATACATGTGTTCATTGAAAAATAAATTTACATTTCAATTTTTATATGCTAGTATTTGGAACAAATTGCAGTCATGTCTCACTTAGAATTTTATAGTCTAAAGAATAATTTATTTTTGATTTTTTTTATTAGACTAGCATTTCCATTATTTTATAAAATATGCAATAAACAATTTAAAGCTGCATGCATATGGATATTTTTAAAGCTCTAACACAGCCAGTTTAGAATTATATGATGTATTATTTGTTGTATTTAATCCCTACACTGTAAGTCTCTTAGAGATTTATGTACAATATTTTAAACATGATAAGAAATGGAAATTAAATCATTGAAATTTGTGTCTATCTGTTAATCAAGACTACCTGATTTTCTTGCACCCTAACCAATTTATTATTATTGAACAATATTTGACGGACGAATCATGCTGTGACGGAGCACTAACTTTATTGACAGAGTTATGCCCCTTGGACTTAAAAAAAAATTCCACTTATTTGCGGTTTCAGTTCATTTTCTCTGCAGAGGTTGCACATATTGAAATGAAATGTAGTATACAGATTTTTCAGCTGAATTTCTAGGTCAGGTTTTGTGTTGGGTAGGATTGCACCATTGTAGACAGAGTTATGCCCTTTTGGACTTGGAAAAAAAAATCAAATTTGGAGGGAGGGGGGCATAAGTGTTTTACAAACATCTCTTGTTCTTACTGGATTTTATAAGCTTATGATACACATTATTTCTGATAAGAAATCATAATGACAAAATACTTGTTTTTTCAAATTGAAGATTTACATTCTGAATATTTGACTTTTACAATTCTTTTTTTTTTTTGAATTAGCATGTACCAAGTCTGTATCCAAACCCAGCATCACTGGAGGTCTTTGTCATTTATCAGAGGATTGTACTTCAACAGAGTGCTGCTTTAATGTGGACTTTTTACGTCACAGTTTCAAAACATTCCTCAGTATTGATCCTTGTAGTAAAGTCCTGTTTGCTGGTATTGAGAAGCTGACAAGAGAAATATCTCTTGTTGATTATGAATATGGTAAATATGCATAATACTATGTAATATTTTTTTCCTTCTTGAATATCATGGATTTGATGGATGTTTCTACCTACATTGTAACCGAATTTAAAATTACCCAGCTTTTTTAATGAATTGAATTTTGTCAGTTTTCAATGAGCTGTTTGTTTAATTTTCACATCAACAAATTTGTCATTATATATAAGCATTCTTGTATGAAAGGGATCAAAATTGATAATCTAGAGGTCATTTCCTTTACAAAAGGATATAAGAATGAATAAGATAATAATATGATATAATATATAAGAAATAATTATTTTATTTTGTGAAATAAAGATATTTTCAAGAACAAAAAGAAAAGGCTTATGTAAAAGCTTGTCATTTAACTGGGGTAGGCTTAGCAATAAAAGATCAATGTTTCATTTGGAAATAAGTCTTTAAAAAAAATTTCAGTAGTAAGGCCATGCAAAGTTAATTACTTGGTTCTCAAAAAATATGATCATTTTTTTTTTTTATTGCCCCCAAAACATGATGAGGCAGCTATTTATATTGTACAAAACCTCAAAAAATGATGAGGGAGGCGATTTGTTGTAATTTTTTTTTTTATTGATTTAGCAATAAAAAGGGTCAATGAGGCACCCTCGGAAGAGATAACAGAGGGCCTGAGAACCAAGAAATTAATTTTTTTTTGCCTAACTGCCTGATCACAATTGGTCATTTTATTATGCAAGGGTGGGTTGGTTCTAAACTAGGGAGCTTAGGTTTTACTCTAGTGTATATAGAGAAAAATTATTTCAAGATTTCCATCTAAAGAGTAGTAGGGTCACAACTGGTCATGCATACACTAGCAGAAACATTATTACTCCTCCATTTTCAAATCCTAGCCGGAACATTGATTAAACCATGGTAAAATACTTTCACTTATGGTGCATCTAGAGATTTGATTAGAATCCTGCATCTGACATATATTTTCTGTATGAGTATACTTGAATCTAAGAGATTATGTATGCTCATTGCTAACGTTTCGATATAACAGATTTTGATGTAGGTATGACAAAAGAAAGAGATCTTTTGTTGTTAAATAAATAGAGAATGATAACTTTCATTATTTTTTGTAGGCAAAGTTGAAAACTTGTGGCTTGGCGGGGTTGTCAGACTAGAGTAAGTTCATTATGTATTCTTTACAAGCTAAAAAAAGGTTCAACAAAATTTGTTATGATGGAAAACCATTAGAAACCTGCATATGACATAATGTTGCATTTGAACAGTAAACATCATGACAGTGATAATTTTGAATAATACAGCATCAAATAGGTGCAGTATATTAAAGTTTTTTGTGTGTATTTTTTATAATCTATATATGAGTTATCATTTATGATATTGAAAAGAACCTAAGTGCATGAAATTTAGAAGGATATAAAGCTAACTATAATGTAGATATATTTTATTGCAGTTTTCTGGTGGAGGACCTTTATGGAGAGCGACTATATCTTGTGAACATAAATGTCAGTTTTTGCTTCGAGTCTGCTGGAAAATGCTACAAAAGTATTGCAGTGTATAAAAACACACTCCTACCCAAAAGAATCTGCCCATGGGATCAAAGTCAAGGTAAGGGAATTTTAATAAGTTAACCTCAACCTGCACCCCACCCCACCCCCTTCAAGATCCCTTCAAAGTTGACTACAAATCATGTTTTGTTAAAACTTTGACATTTCACTTATATAAGGACTAGGATTATCAATCTTGACAGTTGATTCATGTTAGGCCATCTTATCACTTTGACGCAAAAATGTCAAACCTTGCATTTTGTCAGTTGGTGCATCTTGAGTTTTCAAATTAGGTCAATTGAAAAGTAGATCACTGTGACTTACTTTTGAAAATGTATGGCTATATCAAAATATTAAGGGCACTAATTGGCTCAGAATCATTAAGCTCTGTCAGTAATGCATCTAAGGTCTTTGGAGTATGTAACTGAAAAGTAGATCAGCAAGACCTACTTTAAATTTGATATTTTATGACTTTATATTAAATGCATCAGGTACTAATATGCTTAGCTTCATGAAACTCTGTCATTGGGTCTTCAAAGTATATAAACTAAAAAGTAGGTTACTGTGACCTAGTTTTTAAATTTTTTTGGCTATTTAAAAATATTTTAGGTATTGCTTGGTTTAGAATCATCAAAATTTGTCAGTTGATGTATTTGAAGTCCTTTGAATGTGTTAATATTGATGCATATGTTAACTGAAAAGTAGTTCAAGTAAACTAGTATTAATTTTGTATTTTCAGATGTTTTATTTATCATATTTGTTAATATAAATGTGTAGTCAGATTTTGAAATCTTTGTCGAAGGTTTCTCCTTGAGTGAATGGAAGAGAAAACACAGCATTCCATTTGGACCTTTGGATACTTGGACAAAGTCACTATTGTTGGAATACTTGGACATTGCACAGTACAGAGATTCCAATGAATGCAAAAGAGGAGAAGGATTTTATGCATTCACCACTTATAATTACAGAGACACAGGCTTTAATCTGAATGCTTCAATCATTTCCCAATGTAAGTCACTGGAATTTTAAAAGAATAACTGAACTTTAAAGGGAATATTCCTGTAATATAGTGAATTTCAATTCTGTCCAGACATAGAAGCATATTAGACATTTTAAAAGAAATGATTCCGTATGACCAGTATGCAGGATTAAGTATATTGAACATAATTATAAACATGCATTATGTGTACATCTCATACATAGTTAGTGAATTCTTTTTCAGTGTGTCAACTGGCTATAGATCTAGAAAACAACTCATTGACAACAGATTCAGCCAGACGAGTGACCTGTTATGTACCCAGCCTGTGTACTGCTGTAGACTGTTGTGTAGATGTCCCCTCACTGGACATGTCATTCCATACCTACATCTCCATTGATCCTTGTCAGTATATGCTCAAGATTGGAATAGAAAAGTACAGCTTTCAGAGGTCACTGGATCAGCTGAGATTTGGTATGTTAAATACAAATAATAGAACTGCATGATGCAGGTTTTAATTACAAGTTTCCTTTATAATAATTGATATTCCTTTCTGTATTTTAGGATATTTTCTTTAACATAGAATATCATGTGATCATTGTAGGTCAAGAGGAAGTATTTACTTTAGCTGGAATTGTAAAAATGATGTAAGCCATGACTCTAAACTTTTTGAAATTCAATCTTAACCTTTATCATTGCACAGTGTATTATATATGACAGTAAATTGTATTTGATATGCTGAAGTACTTTAAAAAAAAACTGACATTTGTTAATTATGGTTCATTCAAATCACCTTCATGATTATGATTTGCTCCAAGGTTCTTAACATTTAATTTGTGGAAATTGTCTCAAGCATTTGCAAGTTTAGTCATTGTTACCGAAATAACATTTGCATTCTTTGTCCTGAACAGCTACAGAATAGAGGACTTGCCAGCAGAGAAGTTGTATGTGATGACAGTGAAGCTGAGTGTTTGTACAGAGACCTCAGGATGTGAAGCCAATCATACAATATTTAACAACATGCTGCTCCCTAAACAACCATGTCAATGGAATGAGGGATTTGTTAACTTGAGTAATTTTGCTTAGTTTCTAGTTTAATGATAAAAACAATGAAATTTATTCTTCAATAATCCCAACTTTTCCACCCAGAAAGTGCTTTCTAAGTAGAAATGTTTGTATTAACCCTAACCATTAATTTAGATTTCTCTGGCTCTGCCTGGATGACTAACAATGGCTACACCACTCCCCTCTCTGAGTCCCAGTCTGCAGAGCTGATGAAGGAGATGAGGGCTGCACCCTACCTACTGGCTGATTCCTGTGACCCAGACTCAGGAATTTACTCATCTTCAATTAATGGCTGGAATAACTGTAATTATTAAACTTGCTATTTTGTAGCTCAAAGTTTACGTTACTATTTATCTTATGCATTTCTGGAACTTGTAAACATAAGGGTAATTTATGTGCGTCATTGTACAATTTTTTCATAAGATTTGATATTAGTCGCTGTGTTCATTTTAGACTGTCCTAAAGAAATGTCCTTAACCAATTTGACTGGAAGTTCAGTAACTTGCCACATTCCCTACCTCTGTAATGAGATACAGTGTTGTGTGAGAGCTGAGAACATCAAAAGGAGTTTCCAGGTTGTAGTCAGTCTTGATCCCTGCTCCCAGATCATGCTCATCAAACTAGAGAGGCTGACCATCAAAGTTGATCTTCTGAATTTTCAGTTTGGTATGTATACTGTAAAAGAAAAAAAGATATGGTTCTTGTTGAATGGTGTAGCAATCAAACTATCTTAAAAATGTCATTTTTGCAGGCAAAACCCAACAGTACAGTCTGGTTGGATTTCTCAAAGCTGAGTAAGTTAAACAAGAGTTATTAGGCTGTGTGAATCTCATATATTGAAAACAGATTTTATGAAAATAAACATTTTATTTTCTTTTTAGTTTGAAAATGTATGACTTGCCTTATCAGAAGCAGTATATGATAAGTCTTGTACTGAGTGTCTGTTTAGAGAGCAGTGGAACTTGTAACTTAGTATCAACTTTACTAGACAATTCTCTACTGCCAAAGACTGAATGTGATTGGTCCTTGGGACTTGAAGGTGAATGAATATATTTAGTATCTGTGTTTTTAAGTTTAACATAAGTGATTTAACTCTTGTACCCAGTATATACATGTACTTCAACTTAAATATGGTAACATTTATCTCAACAGGATTTTCTTTGCAAAATTGGCTTGCTACAAAAGATGAAAGCATTGGAACTGTCTCATTACCTGAACATGTACAGTACATGCTACTGGAGGAGAGAGGTATAGCTAACATGATGAAGGATACTCCCTGTAGTAGGACAGGTGACAGCATGTATAACTCATCCACTCCAGTCAATGGGTGGCTGACAGGTAAAATCTGCAAAAAAAGTCTATTGTCTCCAAAAATATATAGTGTTGAAGTGGAATCTATTGATATTTATTTTCTTTTACAGACTGTACTTCATCAACATCAAACCTGACAGAGTTACCCTCAGAAATCACTTGTTATTATCATGGTTCCTGTACTGCAGTTAGCTGCTGTATGGACATAGTGAAGTTTGACAACAGATCTATAGAAGTGTCCATCATCTTTGATGAGTGTGCCAACTTCCTGACCCTGAAAATCGAGAGGATATTTCAAACAGTTTATTTGCATGATTTCTCCTTTGGTAGGTGACTGAAAAAGAAATAAATTACAGTTTTGAATGGATTGTGAGCAGCCTTTATCTTTTATAATTTATATGGATTAAAATGTTGTTATTTGTGATTTTTTTTCACATTATTTTATATATCTATACAAAGGGAAATACCGAAAAAATATGTACATTCAACTTAAAAAAATAACTACCCTAATGTTTCTTCTGAAATTGAAATACTTTTTTTTAGGCACAGAACAGAAATTAACACTTAAAGGCATTTTTCAACTGGGGTAGGTTTTGCTCTGTAATTCTTCATTAATTTTTGATAAATGCTGTAAACAAATTAAATGTATATTCATTCTATTTTGCTTAAAAAAAAACTATTTACTATGAAAAATTTCATAACACAGATACACCATAACTCGTAATATGTATACTCGAAAATACGAGTTTCAAGTGGAAATAATGGCATGCTATGAACCATTATATTGTGACCAAGTGGTAACCATTCTAAACCAGACATCATTTGACATGAAAGACTGCACTTATCAGGAGGGATTTCTGAATTCCAGTAAGATATAAAGTGCCATTTTAAAATGCTGAAATGAAAACTGCATGATTAATTCACTATTAATTTGATTTTTCTTTTTTGGCTATTAATTTTCTTTAAAAGGGGGGGGGGGGGTACAAATAAATAGTAAGGATTGTCTGTAGTACATGTAGCATAAAAACCTGCATATCTTTTGTTGTTTACAGGCTTTTCCCTCAGTGCTTGGCTGGCCTCCTGTGCTATACCCCATGTAGATGACATGACTGTACCTCAGGCCAGTGAACTCCTGACAGAACTCGGACTGGACCACTTCCTGGATTCTACAGACAGGTGCTCTCTGTCTGACACAGTGTACGGAGCAGCAGCAGGAAATGGATGGAACAATGGTAGAAACTTAAAGTGTATTATATTGACAAAAAAAAACAAAAATGTGTTAATTACAGTGTTGCCTTGTATGCATATTTGCTTTTTGGTTTTTGGAAACAGAATGTGAGCAGTATCTCAACTACACCTTACCAATCCTTACAAACAAGAATCAAGTTTTGTGCCATGTTCCCTCTACATGTGATAGGGTGTCTTGCTGTGTCTACATTGCTCCTGTTCAAAGACATGCTGAAGTTGAACTTGTACTTAATACATGCAGTTACCAGATGGAGGCCTCAATTGATAACCTTAAAATCAGCCGTAACTTGTTCACATACGCATGGGGTAAGTGTTGATCTATATACAACATATACTGCTGACAGTTAATTTTCATTTAAAATGATTAAAAAAATGTTGATATTAACTTGTAGGCACAATGGAGAAAATTGGAATTCATGGAGCTATAAGATATGGGTAAGCTTAGCTTCACTGACTAAAGTGAAACTGAATCTTAATATTGCATCTGTTGCATAACTATTTTACTGTTTTTCTATGCAGCAGGACTTTAGATGTGAAATTTTACTTCTTTAAACTTATTTGACAGGTTTCATGTCACAAATGTGGTAACTGAGAAGAAAATCAAAGTTGATGGGAATATCTCATTGTGCTTTGAACAAAGCAGCTGTACTGATGTACTGACCTTCCATGACCTGCCAACCAGCTATGTCCAATGTAATGTTAGCAGCGGTGAGGCTGCATTTGAAGGTTGGTATTAGTTTTTGGTGATATTTAATTTGGTCTGTAAACAGTTTTCTGTTTTCAAAATAATAGATTATTATGCATCTTTTAAGGAAAGCTCACAAGAAAAAAAATCAATTTTTTGTTAAAAAAAAAGGTATCACTCAGCAGAATGACTTTTGTCTTGTAGGTGTCAGTTTTGACTTTTGGAGGCCAACACAGTGTGGAAATTTTAATTTCGCTTCAATAGGTAAAGTTGAGGGAATACAGAATGATAAGATCATGCAAGCTTTATACATAAAAAAAAGATATTATATTAGATTAAATATACATGTAAATTTTATTTAAACATTTAAATATAGATTATAGTCCTCTGAAAATGGGATTAAGATTATATAAATAAAAAATTTAAGGTTTTGAAGCTTTTATAATCTTAATAACCATTGCTTATGCCTTAAAAATGGAGTGCCACACTCTTTAGCAAAGTAATTTTGGTATGTTGAAAGTCACTGAAGAAGAAAAAAAAAAGAAGTTAAATAATTGGACACATTGCTAGCTCACATCTAAAATATATGTGCTTGTTTATAACTTGTCAATGAAATAATAATTTTGTCAAGGCTTTCTTGTATTTCTTGGGATTGGTGGAATTTAAGTACTGTAAGGAAATATGTACCCGGTAGCTTGAGTTTTAATTTTTAGCTCATTTGAGCCTAAGGCTCAAGTGAGCTTTTCTGATCAAAATTTGTCCGTTGTCAGTCGTGTCATCGTTGTCGTCGTTATCGTAGTCATCATTGTCGTAAACTTTTGACATTTTCATCTTCTTCTCAAGAACCACTGGGCCAATTTCAACCAAACTTGCTACAAAGTATCCTTGGGTAAAGGGGATTTAAGTTTGTTCAAATGAAGGGCCACGCCCTTTTCCAAGGGGAGATAATAATGAATTAGAGAAAAAATAATGGCATCTTTAAAAAATCTTCTTCTCAAGAACCACTGGGCCAGAAAAGATGAAACTCATGTGGAATCATCCTCAGGTAGTGTAAATTCAAATGTATACAAATCATGACCCCCAGGGGTAGGGTGGGGCCAAAATGGCCGATCAAAGTTTTACATAGGAATATATAGGAAAAATCTTTAAAAATCTTCTTCTCAAGAACCACTGGGCCAGAAAAGATGAAACTCATGTGGAATCATCCTCAGGTAGTGTAGATTCAAGTTTGTTCAAATCATGACCCCCAGGGGTAGGGTGGGGCCAAAATGGCCGATCACAGTTTTACATAGGAATGTATAGGAAAAATCTTCTCAAAAACCACTGGGCCAGGAAAGATGAAACTCATTTGAAATCATCCTCAGGTAGTGCAGATTCAAGTTTGTTCAAATCATGACCCCCAGGGGTAGGGTGGGGCCAAAATGGCCGATCACAGTTTTACATAAGAATATATAGGGAAAATCTTTAAAAATCTTCTTCTCAAGAACCATTGAGACAGGAAAGATGAAACTCCTATGGAATCATTCCCAGGTAGTGTAGATTCAAATTTGTTCAAATCATGACCCCCCAGCCGTAGGGTGGGGCCAAATGGCCGATAAAAGTTTTACATAGGAATTTCTAGGGAAACCTTTTAAAATCTTCTTTTCTAGTACTTTAAAGCCATGCTTAGTGATATTTTTAGGGAATCATCCTTAGATAGTGTGGATTCAAGCAATGTTCAAATCATGACCCCCTGGGGGGGTTAAAATTCAAGCCCCCCCCCCCCCCCCCTTCAGTAAACTTTCAGTTCTGATCTGATGTGTGCTTTTTCCTAGCCAATTGCTCAGGTGAGCAATGTGGCCCCTGGGCCTCTTGTTTTTCTTTCTCCCTCCACTTTGCACAAAACAAGTTTTGGGGTATATATGAATTATAGCAAGTGCAGCAATTTGGTGCAAAGTGCTGTTTACATAGCAAGCTCCATAGATAGAATGAAGGAAATTCAAGTTGAAATGGGCTTAATGTTCAAAGAAATATGAGTCCGAGTGAAAAAAAAATTTCAAACAACCAATTATACTTTACAATGCATAGCAACATGGTGTTTTAAACATAGCAACAATTTACATGCAATTGAAAAAAAATAAAAACAGACATTTAATGTGATCTCCATACCAAAAATATCATCTGCATCCTCAGTCAACGGGACTTATTTGTATGTGAGGTCACATTTTTGTCACTAAAACAACTCAGGTATTTCCGATTTTGTCAGAAAAATCCGAAGAAGTTTAGAATTAATTATTATTTCAAAAAATAAAACTGAGCTCACCATAACAATTTCACCATCAGACATATTGTAATGTTTATCCATCTATCAGTCGTCAATATCTCTGAAATCCATTCTGGACTATAATTTTGCAAACTTAAGATTCATTTGAAACTCATGCTTGGTATAAAGATTGTTTATGATCTGAAAGTGTATCATAACCTCGACCAAGGTCATTGTGGGAAGATCAAGGTCACTGGCAAAAAAAAAAATGTAAAATTCATATCAGCTAGATAAGTCCATAATTTTCAAATGAAATTGGATGTTCATATTTCACTGTAAGATACAATTCTCATGGTCAGAGGATGTAAACTATAGCTATATTGTTCTAAGACCTTTACACTTCTTATGAGGGTCCCAAAGAATCTCTAGTTATTACAGACTGATATTCTGTTTATATAGCAATGAAAAGAATGGGGATGAATACAAAATGTAACATTCAAAAAAGAATATTTTGTCTTCTATAGGCATATTAACATTTTTACAAGTTTATTTTCTTTTTAGATAATCCTTTCATATGTGCATTACATGTTTGTATTTTGTAGTATGTGATACATCAAAGATAGCAAATATTCCAGTAGACATGCAGAAATACTGCAAATATCTAGATGACTGCAGTGGATTAGAATGCTGCTTTGAGAATGAATTTGATCTTGGTAACAGAAGTATCTATTTTATGGGGAGGCTGGACTGTAACCATTTGATATTCCAGATAGAGAACAAAAAAGTGCAGAAATCACTGGGAGTCCTCTCTAATGGTAAGAACTGTGAAAGAGAGTAGTGCAATACGTTGTATTTCCATTAGTGAACTCTTCAGAATTAGAGGTGCGTTTGGTCGTCTGACTGGGACAGCATGACATTGCAGATAATACAAAACATGCCAGTATCAATCCAGTTTTAAATGTTAAGTGCATTTGTCATTCTACCTAAAGAATAGAAGAACTAAAAGACATATGTAAAAGAGCGAAAACCCTAACTTTATCGTCCATTGATAAAAATACGACATTTCCGAGGTATGTGTATTGACTTTAATATTGTACCATTACGATAAATAGATACATATGATCACCAATAGATGTAAATTAATATCCTTGTCATCTTTACTCTTGATTTAAATGAAGTCCAAAACAATAAAATATTTCATATGCATTTTGTTAGGATTTGTTCATCCACATTCAACGTGTTGTTTACATGCTTATGTTACGTTTGTCCCAGAAATCCCACGAGATTTGTTCATATTCCGACTTTTTCACAAAAGAGCGCACTAAGAACTATAACTCTTCAATAGTGGAAATAGAACGTATTGGTTTCTCACATGTCAATCTAAAGAGAATCAGAGAAGGAAAAGCTTAATCAGGAAATAAAATGAAACAAATATTTGTAGGAATAACATACACTGAAAGCATTGGAAATCCAGTTGCATTTCGAGTCAACTACACTAAAAAAGAGTATGGTGCTAATTATTATGGTGTTGGAATGACTTTGTTGGCTCGAGGACCAGGATCTTCAGGAGTTGTAGTCTACAATATTATGGATGTAAATACAACTGTAATAAATCCATCTGGATGTGTACCTGGCAGAAGGAGAAGAAAAAGACAGTCTCTTGATTTGTCAAAGTATGTCAATTAAGCTGAAGAAAAATTCTAAAATAATGATCATATATCTTACAAATATATTGCTTTACATACTTAGTTACCTATAGACTGTATTTTAATGTAGGAAACATTTTAGGGAATGTTAACAAATTTATGAGTGAGTAATTCAGTAAACACATCAGCTACAGACAACTCTTTGATCCTAAAAAAGTTTCTGCAACAGAATTTATTATTTAGATAGAATTAGGATTTTTGCAATTATGTTAAATATATAAACAAAAAATTACAAATTCTATAGATGACATGAACAACCTTGTCACTACTAGTACATCTATTTGTAGATTAAACACAGCAACATTTACAGAAGGAATAAGAATTCTTCTAGAGAATGATGCACCAAATGATGAATTTCTGGAATTTCTGCAAAAAATTATTGATAAGAATGTGAGTATTTTTGCCTACCTGCAAATACTAATTTACGCACAAGAACAAAACACATCTCCTTTCTAATGAATAAAACTAATCAGTAATGGAGAAATGGCAGACAAAAGTCAGAGCTCATACAAAGTATGATATCATTAATTTGATTTTGAATTTAGCTTTGTAAATTGTTATGGAAACATACATTTAATATCATAAATCAAATTATCAGTGCACTGACCAAGAATGTCAATTAAAACATACAGCTTACACTCATACATGGAGAATATGTATAAAAAACTCCAAGATAAAAGGGAAAGTTGGCATTTAAATATCTATATATCTATTTAAAATAGAAACTTGAAAAGGCAAAGAATTTAGCAGCTACACTTTTGTCAAGTACTGATGTGACAACTGGGATTAAGGCTCAAGTACAAGCTTTAGGATCTGGTAATCCATTCACCATCAAAACTACAGAGGACAATGCTCAGTCTGTTTCTGTTCAAGGAAGTAAGTAAAATAAAAATCAGATATGCTCAAACTTTTACATAAAAAATAAAACCTCTCACTTTCTGTTCCCACTGCTGTAATATTAAAGAGGTTAAGCATTTGACTGTGTACGTCTACTTGTACGTACAATGTAAACCTAGAAGTGATTTTACACATAAGCGTAACTATCGTCATGTTCTGTTTAACAAACTGCACGTGTACTGGTACGTGTAAAACATCATTTCAACAAGGCACTTTAAAATCCATTTGTATCAAATAAATCTATGACTTGAAATAAAAAAAGATACATTGGACGTACGTAATAAATTCTCAACTTCATACCAAACACCGGCTGAAAAATATATATTCTGTAGTTTGAGTTTAAGAAGATACAAGTTTTCACATACGTGTACTTGCGAATCTACACGTTTTGTACAACTTAAAGAATTACGCAGTATGCAAAACTGATGACGTAATTCGCATTAAATCAGGGGATTTCTTTAGCTACACGTACACGTAGACGTACACGGTCATCTGCTTAACCTCTCTATATTGTTATAAGGATGCTTCAGAACATATAGGAATGTCAATTTGAAATCGTTATATCCAAGTGTCTATTGGATCAACATGGTCATAAATTCTTTGAAAATATTCATTAAAAATGTTAATTACCAGGGGTTGCAACAATATTATATTGAAAATTGATATTTAGGAGAAGGAACTTTATGGGGATTCATGTTTGATTAAAAATTGGTGTAATTCTTTTCAAAAGAGAGATGAGTAATAAAAATGTAAAGGTATGGTTGGGTTCTTGGTTCTAAGTTCTTATATTTTAGTTCGTTATAAAATTACTGCATGGTGATAGTGTCTAGATACTTTTGGCAAGTACATAAGGCAAGTGCACAACTAGATCTACTTTAAGATTTATTACTGAGCACTAAACTGATTATTTTGTTGATCCTTGGTGCTTTTGTGCAGCATACCTTCATCTATCAGTTAATCACAGTGAAGATCTAAAAATGATAATTTTGGAAATTTCATTTTGTCATTTTAAAAATCAAACTTTTGAGCTCACCTAGGCCTGAGCTGAAGACTCAAAAGAGCTTTAAAATTTCTGATCAAAATTTGTCCATTGTCTGATGTCGCCGTCATTTTTCAAAGTCTTTGTAAACTTTACACTTTTTCATCTTCTTCTCAAGAACCTTAATTTAGACAATTTCAATTAAACTTGCTACAAAGTATACTTTCAAATTGGTAAAGGGATTTAGATTTGTTAGAAATGAAGGGCCACACCCTCTTCCAAGGGGAGATCATTGTGAATTTGTTGAAAATTTTTGTCTTTGAAAAATCTTCTCAAGAACCACTGTGCTAGAAAATAGGAAACATGTGGAAGCATAAGGTAGTGTAGATTCAAGTTTGTCAAATTATGACCTCCAGGGGTAGGGTGTGGCCACAGCAGGCGATCAAAGTTTTACATAGGAATATATAGGAAAAATTTAATCTTTTTCTCAAGAACAGCAAAGCCAATAATAAATCAAAAATAATATGTCAGCATCCTTAGTTAGTGTAGTTTCAATTTTTGTTCAAATCATACCCCCTTTCGCCTCTCCCTTTAAGGGGTAGGTTGGGCCTTGTGCATGTAAGCTTTTCAATATTGAACTGATTTTTGCTTTTTTCCTAGCCACAGTGCTTAGGTGAGCGATGTGACCCCTGGGCCTCTTTTTGTGCTATGGGAAGCAACATTTAATCTTAATTAGTTCTCAAGTGATAGAATAATTTGTTGAGATCAATTTTACCAAAATCGAAGAATATTAAATTCTTAGATTAACAATCCAAATTTAAAAATTTAATGACTTATCAGGTGCTGCCATTGCTAGTGCTTTGGTCACTTCAAATTCTGTGGCTGGAAGATCTCACCAGTCTTACATTGTTGGAAGTGGAGTGACTCAAAATGGGGCAAAGATACTTGCAAACAAACTAGCTTGTATGACAATTGGAGATTTGGAAGGTTTACTACAATTGAAGAATATTGATCCTGTTAAAGTGGCACTACTTTTGAAAGACATTCAGGACTTGGCAAAAGCTCTGGTAAGATTTGAAAAAGCTTCTCTTGCATCATTTTAGTTTCTTAATGATGGAACCTGAGAACTGTAGGTTTTCTCCTTATCTGTCTGTCTGTCAATCTGTCCCACTATGTTTTCCACACCTTTTAAGATATGCTTTGCAGATATTGAGCTGATTTTTAGGTGAGTGTTTGAACCTTGAGGAGTTAAAGATCAAGTTTGCATTTCATACCTTTTCAATGATCTTTTATAGAATAACAGCCTTTTTAATTTTTAAAGGGAACCAGATCACACTGGTCAAAGTGTATTGCATGCTTTTATATAACCTAAGAAACTGATTTTCAGTAGTGTTAGCATTATTTATATTATGCACTGAGGTTAAAAAGCAGGAGATACAAATAGATAAATATACAAAATGACAAAATTATTCACCCCAACCAATAAGAATTCAAAACTAGTAGACCATAATTCTCTGAAATTTCTTGTTAGATTCATGTTCAAATCATGGTCCTCGCTGTTTATGTATACATGTAAAAAGATTTTATAAGTACATGTAGTATCAATGTGTTATAAATGATTGCTGTTAAAACAAGAGGGTTTGTTAAGAATTTGGTCAGATTGAGCTAATAATGGATATATTTTTCATGTCACCTCTCAGGATGACAATTGCAACTTTGATTTGTAATGATGATGACCAAATGCCTACATTTATTATGATTTTTTTTTTCATTTCAGTACTCTGAATTTATCAGTAAATTGTTTACTGATGGTGCCAGTATATTCAAAAATTTTGAATTTGAACTTAGGGGAGATTTCAGCTTTCCTTTACAACATGGACCAATGTTCGCTTTTGAAAAAATTTTCCCTATTGGTTCATTTTTGACAATGAGTTTTGGTAAGTTATCAGTTTCAGTCTTTATGTTTGATAGCATTTGTTTTCAGTTTATTTTTTTCCCCTGACTTATTCTAACTCAAACTTTACCCATAGGGTGACCCCTGAAAGAGAGTGTGCAATGAAAGACAAAGGGAAAATATTTGTAAATCCTTGTTTGTATCAAATTCTCTCTTCCCTCAGCTTATTCTGGTTCAGACTTTACCTGAAATGGATCTGTGATCAAAGGGTGTGCAGTGACCTTACACAAATTACATAATTATGTCAAGGTCAGTGAATGCCTGGTGTTTGATACATGGCCAGACTAGACTTATCTCTCTTTAGCCTATCTTGCTCATACTTCACCAAGAGTGCTCATGGAAACCTTTAACCAGGTCTTGGATTAGAACTGAGATGTGATATCACTTCTCTATGTTAAATCCTTAAATCTATTCTCCTCATAGCCCTATATCTGGCTCATTCTTATTAGATGGGTGCACAACAGGATAGGTGTCAGTCAAAGTTAGACCATACAGGCTACGGGGCCATAAAACTTAGATGAATTCATTTTTGATCTCAATCTCACTTGTACATACAAGTGAAAAAATGGACTGACATCAAAAGTGAGCTAGCTGAGCTAAGTTTTATGGCCTCATTGCTGGATCTTTGATCAAAATCTTCCTTATGAGTATATGTTCTCTCAAGAGGCTCACATGAGCTATTTCAGCATTTATCAATTGTAAATGACTTACATCTTAATTCTTCATTCTTTTAACTTTTCTAGAACCAGTAGACCTATTTCTGCAAAAGTTGTGACAAAACAATTTAAGATGAAACTGGGCCACAAAAGTTAAACATCAAGATATATAGGGGGGAAAATTTTCAAAATTTTCTCATGAGCTTTACTGTATAATAATAAATGTGAAGGAGAACTTTAAAATGATAGTTACAACACCTGATTTACTAACTTGTCCAATGGTGCCATATTTTGAATAATTCGGACTGAAACTGCACTTGATTTTTACAAGGCTATGAGTAAATGATTTTGTTTTTTACAAGCTTTGAGTATGTATTGACTAATTTATTTTATTTTAATGTTAATCTTCTCTTAGGCTTTGGAATAGATTACTACTTTGGTGTGAAGTTTGGCGTTGGAGCAAAGATCATGGAAATGAAAGGATTTGTAGAGGTTGAGCCTTATGGAGGCTTGATTGTATGGGGAGAATTAGGAATTGGGTATGCACTGTATGGTAAACTGAGGCTTGTTGGATTCATTATGGATAGTGGATTTCCAATAATTGCAGAAGTTGCTTTTACCAAGTTTCCAATAGATGTCACGTGAGTATATAACTGTAAACTTCGATAATTATGAATTTCCTCAATTTTAGTTCATTTGAGTCATTTTATTCACTTAAAAGGAGGTGACTTCTTGAAAAACTTAATGAATTGAATTATGCTAATTATAGATTATAATACATTTACATGTATTTCAGACTGAAGATGTATCTGAGGCTAACCCCACTAAAATTAAGACTGTATGCACTGGTAACTTTGGAAGTGGATATTGTGATTACAACTTTAAAATTGACTTTGTACAAAGCAAAAATTTGGGAGTTTCAAACTGCAACGATTAGGAAAAAGCTTATTGACAACTCAAAGGATGAAAAAGATGAAACACCTCCAAAACTTCAAAGCTTTGGGGTGAGATACATCTGGAAACTTTTAAAAAAGTATTGAATTAATATTTTATATGTTAGAAAACAAGACACACCTAAATAAACTGTGCATGTAAGTAGCTACTTTTAAATATGGAGCACTGGTATTCTACTGTAAAATTTTACTTTGTCAATTTTTTGTTCATCTTGACTAATTCAGTCAGGGGACCCTCAGCTTCACTGTCCTTTTTGGGTTTGTTTTTTTTTTTGAGCTGAAAATTAAATTCTGAGATATTTTCAAGACTATTGACAAGGTTAAAGTTTTTTGAGAGGCAGATTATAGTTTAAGAATTGGGTCTTAAATATTCCCAAGTATTATACACGTCAGGGTTATATTTTCACAGGTCATTTTCACTCTTACACATTAAGGGTAATTTGCCCAGACATAGCTAGATTTATGATTTTTGCTAGCACGCTTCAGTGTCTTTTATGACTGTCAGTTTTGCAGCTCTGAAAAAATGTTTGCATCTTTGTATAGGGAAGCACCCCTTCAGGATCCTGTGGTGTTGTTCAAGTGGCAGGTCGAGATCACACAGAACCAGAGTTTACCATCAATGTTATGGCTGAGGATGACAGAAGTAATGTTAATCTACATCTAGACATAGGAACAGTACCAGGAGGTTCAAATGTCATGTCCAGAAAACAACTTGGAGGATTTTCCACTGCATTGAGTGATGTAAGTATGTTTTTTCAAAAGAACAGTTGGTGAAAAATGACAGATGTGTAGAACCATATATGATAGTTCATGTATTTGTGTGACTATGTAATAGATTTGCTGAAACAGTATAAATGTAATTTTTAGCTCTACTGGTCAGTCAGAGACCAGAAGAGCTTATGCGATAGTAATGCGTCCGGCGTCCATCCATCTGTCTGTCTAGCTGTTTGTCTGTCCGTCTGTCTGTAAACAATTTTTCAAAACGCTACTCCTCCTACAATTTTAGTCTGATTTCAATATTACTTGGCACACAAGTAGACTACACAAAGATACATAGAATAGTGCATCAGTTTTTGATTTTGATGAACGGTGTAGCCATGGTTAATAAAAATAGAATTTTCTGTAAAATTCCTGTAAAACGCTACTCCTTCTACAGTTTTGGTCTGATTTCAGTATAACTTGGCACACAAGTAGACTACACTAAGATACATAGAATAGTGCATCAGTTTTTAATTTCGATGAACAGTGATGCCATGGTTACTAAAAATAGAATTTTCTGTGAAATTCCTTTAAAACCTTATTCCTTCTACACTTTTGGTCTGATTTCAATATTACTTGGCACACAAGTAGACTACACTAAGATACATAGAATAGTGCAATGGTTTTTGATTTCGATGAATGGTGTTACCATGGTTACTAAAAATAGAATTTTCTGTGAAATTCCTTTAAAACGCTACTCCTTCTACAGTTTTAGTTTGATTTCAAAATAATAAGTTGGCACACAAGTAGACTACAGAAAGATACATAAAATGGTTTTTGATAAGTACAAACCAGTAGAGCTACAGTCTCGACAGAGACTTCTGGTTTATGTAAGAAAGGGCATAGGGATCTTTTTCTTGAATTCAGTTTATAGAAAATACAGGTGAGCTAGGTAGCTTGATCTTGGATGCATTAAAAACCTGGCATACAGAGGACTAGTATTTCATCATTTGTCTGTGATCACAATAGTATTTCCAACAAGATTTGAAGCTTGTGTTTCCAAGCAAATTATTGTCCAGATTACTGAACTAAAGGAAAGTTTTACTAGATATAATTTTAATTTCTGTTCCCCACAAATATTGTATGAGAGAATAACCAAGATTGATTGATTTGTATGAAAGAGTGTAAATTTAAGAGTTAGAATAAAAAAAGTTTGAGAATTTCTTAATATCAGTGAATTTATAGTCATTGTAATTAATTGAAACATTTATTGCAGATCCTTAGTCCAGCTGGAGTCCCTCTGTATTTCACAGTCCATGTGTCCAATGAGGCAGGAGTGAGTGTCCCAGCCTCCTGTAAACTAGACACATATGACATGACAATACCAGGAGGGAGGATGACAGAAGCCTTTACCTCCACCAGTAATCCTAATGTTCTGAAGGCAGTAGTCACAGTGTATGAAGACTCACCCCTCACACACACCAAAGTAGCTGTTGGGTATGGCAAGAACACATGGGGAGAACAGATTGTCAGATGGACAACTACAACAGTGGCTGCCAACACTGTTAATTATGATGTGGGTAAGTGATACTGGTTTTCTCACATACTATTATTTGTGAATATTTCATGAACAAGTAATATTTTAATGACTTTGCACAATATTGATGATTTTTAGTTCACCTCAATGAAATCAGGAGAACCTTATTCTATACCTATTTCATAATTGATGCCAAAATCTGCTGTAAACCAACTTTTATTCATGAGCAAAAAAATCCAAGAGTTTTTGAACTTTTACTCATGAATATTAATTTTATTGTCCAATTATTTACCCAATATATGTAGAATGTTGCCTCATTTGCAAATGCTAGTAGTTGCAGATTGATCCCAAACTGAAGAAACAGCACATAATAGATGGTTTACAATTTATTGCAAAATCAATAAAATCAATAAGTGATTTGAAATGAAACTGAAAACATGACACATTAGGGAATCTTACAGTATTAGATCAAGCTCTTGTTATTGTAAAATACTTTAATTCGCAGAATACATGTATTTGTTCTTGTAACAATTACATTGAATTTATAGAAAAGAGAGGGTTTTTTTACATTTGAATTTCAAAGAAAAAGTATTGCTTTTAAGTGTGAGGTTACAAGACCTCCGTTGACATTGATTTCTCTTATTTTAGGTCATGATCCTTTGAATCAGAAAGTGATGACACTGTTCTCCTCTGGTAAGGCAGGGAGACTTGTTGGGAGGGGCATCAGAGTAGCAGAGTACCTAAAAATAACAACCAAAGAGGAGTGTGCTGCAAACTGTAATGGAATGCATGTCACAAAATGCCTGAGTTTTAATTATGATTATGGATCCTCTGGTCGATGTGAACTTTTGGAGGCCATTGAAGGACATGATCACAAAATATCACACGTTTGTATTAATTACTTGTATCAATATTTTATTTCAAATATTACAAAACTTGTATTCTGAATATATTAAATTAAAAATAAAAATACTAACAAGGCAGACCAACATTAACTTTAATTGATGTGGAAGAGTTTGCCTGCTTGCAAAGAAAAAAAAAATCTGATGTATTGCTATTTAATAATGATTCTGTAGTAGACAATACTGAGAATTCTCGTCAAAAAAGATAATTGAATATGAACTTCATATAGGACGGTCATTACATGCACTTTGAGAAGCTTGGAGTGGGTTCCAACAGAGGATTTGTGTACAATAATCTACAGTTACCTCATAACCACATCTTCTACTTCAACTTTGATATTGTCAACAGCCTTGGATTTCACAACATACTGTCATCCAAACCTATACTAACAGATTACACTCCCCCAGATCCAACGTCATGTAAGTGTCTGTTCTTTTAATGTAAAAATGACAACACACAATGAAAAGAGATTTTGTTAGTTTTAAGTTTTTTATCATTGAATTCAAAGAAGGTGATTTGTAATTTGTAGGGCAAATAAACATCACAAGTGACAGAATAGAAACCATAAAGTGTGAGGATGTGATTCCTGATGATAGAGATGACTGGGAAGAGAGATTCTGTGAAGGAGTGAATCCAAAGACAAAGAATCACCGAATCATCATAGATGGAGAGGGTTCAGAGACGCTCTATAATGGCCATACTTACAAGAATGACCTCAAGTATACCAGGGCCAATAGATATATATCTGGTAATGACAAATGTGTTGGACTAACAGTCAAAACTCAAAAACAATTTTTGCTCAAATTGAAATACTATTATAGCCATAGATATTGAATTGCACATCCATATTATCATATTTTCAGTTTATTATGTTAGATTTTGTGTTTAAAAGAGTGACTTGTACTTTTTAGCCAACTGGGATGGTATCATTGAGGAATTTATGATTTTGAATTTTATCTGTGAGGAGAAAATAAAGCAGCATCACGATCCTCATGCTCACCTGTTTGACCGGTCACAGTGGACTCATACTGTGATGATGTCCCCTCTGGAGGAACCTTACACTGTTTTACCAGGTGTGATCTATATAGGATATGGTTTGTTTTGATCTTTTTTAGCCAACTGGTTGTGTGTATCCCCGAGCCTTGCAATGAGACACGAAATATTTTTGTTCACTTTAAATGTGTATTTTGTCTTTATTTCTAATTCAAAGTCCTTTCGGTTACCTCGGACAAAATAACGTAATAAATAATATTACTTTGTATGAAATAGTTCGTACAAAAATAAAAGAAAGAAAGTATTTCAGTACTTATTTTTTTTTAATATATGAATGAAAATTTGTTAAAATATATCAAATAAAGTGAAATTTGACAAATTAAGTCATTCTCTACTCATGCACATGTATTTGTTTATTTACATTACGTCCGTGGCGTAGGAATACATAGAGGAACGATATCACATGAGCTATATCAAGGGGATAAAGGGGAAAATATGTGATAAATACTGAATCTTACTTTTGATTTTAAATGATACGTATTATTTTTAGAATATGTGTAAAATATTTTTAATGTCTCTGAATATTTTTTTAGCAATGTGGTATCACATGTTGCTGTAAACTGAAAATTTGAATCACATATTTTCCATGTGTGTTAATGGCCTGGGTTGTAAAACATGTATAAAAAAGAAATGACATTTTACATTACTGGAGAGCATGAATTTTGTTGGTTTCTTCATAACACAAAAACAATGAAAACCCACTTAAAAATAAGTGTTTTCATAGTATTTCAAATTAATTTGGTTCATTTTTAAATGTTTAATAATTACCTGACAGATAATACCATACAATACTCTATAGACTTGTAATGAAGCTACGGATTTATGTATATAATGCCTTTTATTAACTTTTCAGATGGACCCTACTATGTCACTGTAAGAGCTATAAACAACATTGAGTACGGCGGAGCATTGAGTACAAGTTTCTGTCACTCTGCACCTTACATTGTGGACAACAGTCCTCCCTTGGTTTATGAAGTATACAATGTTCGCTACGATGAGGATAAGTTCAACCTCTCACTGACTCACAATTCATCGTTAGTTCATTTGAAAGTTTTCTTGGAGTAGTTGCATAAGTTTAAAATTAGAAATAATGTAAATCTGAAATATTCTTGAAGGCTTATTAATGAAATAAATTTGCGCATGTACGTTTCATATAGAAGGTGTTAGCAAAAGATTGTTGCTGTTTACCATGGATTATAATTTTGACATTAGTCAATGCAAGACAATATGGAACATAAAAAACAAACATTTTTAATGTTTTTGAGATAGAATTCTCAAAGAAATTTTATTTACAATTAAAAAATCTTTTTTTTATTTAGTGATCCAAACTCTGGTGTGATTAGAAATGACCTATGTCTGGGTAGGACCACAAGAGACTGTGATGAGCTGATGTGGCTTCCTATGGAATACAATCAAAATCTGACCTACCTCCATAAAGTTACGGAGGGGGTCCCTGTTTGGGTTAAAGTCAAAGTTGTGAATAATGGTAATCATCCCTGTTCAACTTAATTTAGTATGTATGAACTTATGTGACCTTTTACAGAGAATAATGAAAATTATGATTATTTAGTAGTAGTTGTATTTGCAATTTTACTTTGCAGTGGACCTGAGAACAATAGGTATATGTGATTCCCCTCTCATAGTGGACAGATCTCCCCCTGTGGCTGGTGTGGTCAATGATGGAGAAATACCTGGAATAGATCTTAGTTACACCAAATACAAGGAGAAGGTCAGGAAACTGTGTTTGAGGAAACTCAAGTAAGGTGTTGTATTTTTAGCTCTTCTGAGCCAAAGACTCAAAGAGCTAATGCTATGGCCATTTGTGCGGTGTGCGTCGTGCGGTGTGCGGTGTGCGTTAACTTTTTAGAATATGGGCCATAACTCAAGAACCCCTTGGCCAATCAGTGTTAAATTTGTGACAGGGTATCCTTGGCCCAAGGGCTACCATTTTTACTAAAATAAGGGTTGGGACCCTAAAACAAGGGGAGATAATCAGGAAAACAAAATCAAAAGTACTGGCTGTAAAAAAATCTTCTTCTCCAGAACCACCAGGCAGATTTTCACCAAACTTACATACAATGATCAGGATATGTTGGAGATTAAAAATTGTTCAAGGCATGACCCTGGGGCAAAGGGTGTGGTCTCAAGGTCACTTCAAGTTTGACCTAAATTTATAATTAATGAAAATGTCTATATTTTGCTTACTATAAGGACTAGGATCATCAAATCTTGTAAGTTGATGCATCTTAGGACTTTACATCATGTTAACTCAAAAGTAGGTCACGGTGACCTACTTTTTTAATTTTGCAGGGATTTGTTTTCAAATTGATTTGAAGGCATATTTTGGACACTTTAAGGCCTATGATCATCAAACTTTGTCAGTTGATGCATCTTGGGTCCTTGAACAACGTCAACTTAAAAGTAGGTCACCTTGACCTACTTTTTGAACTTGATGATTTATCCTTTTTAAAACATTTCATCCCATTATTTCAGACACTGAGAGGGTTAGAATCATCAAATCTTGTAAGTTGCTGCATCTTGGGACCTTAAAACATATTTAAGTAAAAGTAGGTCACTGTGACCTACTTTTAGAATTTTGCAGGCATTTGTTTTCAAATTGTTTAAAAGGCATATTTTGATTACCTTCGGACCAACGATCATCAAACTTGGTCAGCTGATGCATCTTGCGACTCTGAAAAATGTCGACCAAAATGTAGATCACCGTGACCTACTTTCGACATTTTATGGCTATATTTCACTATCTTAGGTATTTATTGGCTTAGAATCATCAAACTTTGTGAGTTGAGGCATCTCGGAGTGGGTTTTCAATATTTTATGGCTATATTTATGTGAAGACATCAAAAATTAGGTCACGGTGACCTACTTTCAATATTTTATGGCTATATTCAAAATGTATCTCCAGTACTTATCAGGTATTTATTGGCTTAGAAATCATCAAACTTTGTCTGAAAAAATGCTAAAATGTAGGATGCATCTTGGGTTTTTGAATCATCAAACTTTGTCAGTTGAATGTTTTCGGAGAATGTCGACCAAAAAGTAGGTCACGGTGACCTACTTTTGACATTTAATGGCTATATTTATGTATTCTGGTACTTATCGGTTTAGAATCATCAAACTTTGTTAGTTTATGCCTCTTGGGTTTTCAGAGAATGTCGGCCAAAAAGTAGGTCACGGTGACCTACTTTTGAATATCTCAGGTATTTATTGGCTTAGAATTATCAAACTTTGTCAGCAGATGCATCTTGGGACTCTGAAAAAATGTCCACTAAAATGTAGGTCATGATAACCTACTTTCAATATTTTATGGCTACATTTAAGTTTCTCTGGTACTTATTGGCTTAGAATCATCAAACTTTGTCAGTTGATGCATCTTGGGTTTTCGGAGAATGTTGACCAAAAAGTAGGTCACGATGACCTACTTTTGACATTTTATGGCTATATTTAAGTATCTCCGGTACTTATTGGCTTAGAATCATCAAACTTTGTTAGTTTATGCCTCTTGGGTTTTCAGCAGAATGTCTGAAAAAATGTCCACTAAAATGTAGGTCATGATAAAAATATTTTAGGTCACTGTGACCTACTTTTGAATATCTCAGGTATTTATTGGCTTAGAATTATCAAACTTTGTCAGCAGATGCATCTTGGGACTCTGAAATATGTCGACTAAAATGTAGGTCATGATAACCTACTTTCGACATTTTATGGCTATATTTAAGTTTCTCTTGTACTTATTGGCTTAGAATCATCAAACTTTGTCAGTTGATGCATCTTGGGTTTTCAGAGAATGTCGACCAAAAAGTAGGTCACGATGACCTACTTTGACATTTTATGGCTATATTTAAGTATCTCTGGTACTTATTGGCTTAGAATCATCAAACTTTGTTAGTTTATGCCTCTTGGGTTTTCAGAGAATGTCGACCAAAATGTAGGTCACGGTGTCGGGTGACATACTTTTTAATATCTCAGGTATTTATTGGCTTTGAATTATCAAACTTTGTCAGCAGATGCATCTTGGGACTCTGAAAAACGTCGACTAAAATGTAGGTCATGATAACCTACTTTCGACATTTTATGGCTACATTTAAGTTTCTCTTGTGTCATATTGGCTTAGAATCATCAAACTTTGTCAGTTGATGCATCTTGGGTTTTCCAAGAATGTAGACCAAAAAGTAGGTCAAGGTGACCTACTTTTGAATATCTCAAATACATATTGGCTTAGAATCTTCAATCCAAGTTTGTCTATTAATGCATCTTGAGTCCTCAGAAAACTTCAATCTTAAAGTAGGTCACCGTGACCTACTCGTGTTTTTTTTTAATATACCTTTATTTAAATATCTTCAGTCCTAATTGGCTAAGAATCATCAAACTTTTTATCAGTTGATGCAACTTGGGTTTTAGGATACTTAGGGTAGAGGCTTCAAATACAAGTGATAGGTGGTACAATTTATCAGAAGAGCGATTCAAGGCCCTTGGGCCTCTTGTTTACACCAAAATAACGTCTCATGAATGATTGCAAATAAAATTTTCAGATTTGCAGCAACTGGCAGAATTTCTATGATCCTCAGTCAGGAATTGCTATGTACATGGTGGGTGTGGGATCTTCTCCTAATGAAACAGATGTTGCCAACCTTACTCGCTTTTCTAGTAAATCACATGTTGCTTGTGTAGAGTTGAAACCAGATGAATATCTGCAGCACAACCAGAAATACTTCACTACTGTGTTTGCCTACAATGGAGGTCACAAACAGCAGAATGTGTCAGCCATCTCAAATGGAGGTATGCATTCAGGGTATTGTTTGACTTTGATGAACACGCTTTGCACAACTATCATTTATCTGCTACTTGCTGAAATATTTTCTATTAGTTAGCTATAAAGTAATCTGGCATTTCTGTTTATTGTTACAGTTTTAGTTGACCTCACTAAGCCAGTGCCTGGACAAGTGGTAGATGGAAATGAAGTCAATTTTACAGATGTGAAGTATACCACAAGTCAAGCTAAAGTTGATCTTCAATGGAGAAATTTCTATGATCCTGAGTCTAACATAAGTCATTATGATGTTAAAGTATTGAGAGCAAAGTAAGTTTGTTCTTTTCGTTATGTAGAAAATTCAAAAAATGCAGGTAATTAGAGCAACAGAATAATTTTGATGAAGTTGATTTTTTGAAAAATAATTTCTTGCCTTTGCATGATTATTGTTAGAAACCTGACCCAAAACTATGAAGAAATCAGAGACTGGACCAAGTTTGAAGCTTCAACAACCAGTGTAAAATGGCTGAATTTCCAAAACCATCATAAAGACAGAATAAAAGCATCCCTTAGAACCACAAATAAAGCTCTTAATGAAATTGTGAACAGCACAGATGGATTTGTTGTGGATTTGACTCCTCCACAGCTTCATTACTTGTGGGATGGAGTGCAGAGCAAAGACAGAGAGTTCCAGGTAAAAAAAAAAAACAAGTGTTTAAAAAATACTAACTTTACATCAGACTGACTCTTTAAAATCTATAGTGGAAGAAAAGAAAAAAAATGTCAAGTCAATTTGAGGCATGTTGATCCATATTCCCTGAAACAATTAAGAGACAGGACAAACAAATCTTTTTTTTTCTTGTATCATTCAGTCTGAAACAGATCAGCTGTCTGCATCATTTAAATACTCTGATAAAGAGTCAGGAGTGGACCATATCAAGCTTAAAATCTATGAAGTTTATCATGGCACAAGGACACAGAAGTACCCAGGTATTGTTCAGAATAATGGAACAATTAAGTGTGCAGTAAAACAAAGTACCTATAAAGTAATTCATAACAAGAATAATTAAAGAAAATACAAGTTCAATATAATTCCATATTTTGAAGTAGATGAATCTGATGTGGTGCATGAAGAATACTTAATTATTTGTAGTGATACGGAATGAGTGGAAAGACCTGCCTAATGGAAATATGACCACGTACACATGGACGGGTCTTACATTGAGGAATGGAGCACGATACACCATGAGAGTAGGAGCCCTCAACCATGCTGGATTCCTGGCCTCCTTTGAGACAAATGGCATTGTCATTGACACTTCTCCTCCAATAGTAAGAGAATTTTAAATACCACATTATTCTACTCTTTTTATAACTAGGATTTGGAGGGAGTTGCTAAAAAATGAATAAAAATATAAATTCTTGTAATTCATATTGAATGCATGTTTACAAGTTTCATATTGAAATGATTAAATGCTCTGTTAGGTTTTGTGGTTGAAAATTGGTGCAATTGGTGATGTGAAGGAGCAGAAGATAGATGGTCATGTGTGGCAGGCTGATAAAAAGGGAATCCAGGCTTCCTGGTTGTGTAGAGACCCAGAATCTGGAATCATAGAGTATGAGGTTGCTGTTGGAACCACTCCAGGTCATTGTTATTTTTTTTATCTCTTTATCCAGTTCAATCCGATGAAGTTGTGATATTTGAATACAGATGTTTATGGAAATATAAAATTACTTTAGGAGGAACAAATAAGCTGTCATGGAGGTCAGTGGGAACAGAGAGCCATCATTATATCAGTGGCCTAGATCTAGAACTGACCAATCGGACCACAAGGTCTCCTGTATACTACTTATCTCTGAGAGCCAGGAATGGAGCTGGGCTCATCAACTCCTCTCCAAAAGTGTCAACACCCATCATTGTAGTTGAGGAAGACAAAGCTGGTATCAGCTTTTTGTCCAATTCTGTCAACAGTTCTGTCTATTTTTGCTCTTTTAAAGAATTAAGCAGATGGTTGATTTTTTAAAAATTAATTTCAGGTATAGTTGTGGATGGTCCCAATAATGTGGACCAGACATTGATAAAGAAACAAGCTGTCAACATCACATCAGACATTGACTACCAGCTGGACTCCTCCACTGTGTCTGTACAGTTTACTGGATTCGAGAGCTCCCTCCATGGAGTCATGCGTTTTGAGGTGGCAGTTGGTACAGAACCCAGTGGAGATGATGTTCTCCCATTCACAGCAGCCAACATAGTTCATATGGAGGAAACAGATGTGGCTGGCAATGGTAATAACCATTTTACAGTTGATAGGTTTTTTTCCCCCGCTGGAAACTGCATGTAAGCCATGTACTTCATAAATGGCATTAGAATTGATTTAGCTTTAAGGCAAACTATGAAATTTCGTGTCTAAATCTTGTGCATGCATTTGTATTCATCTTTTAATCTTATCACAGGTTTATCAAGTTCTGGTTATGTTCAGATGAATTTACCATTGGAAGCAAATAAAACATACTTTTCAACCATACGAGGCATCACAAATGGAGGAAATGTGTTAGAGAGCAGTTCAGATGGATTTACTGTTGACCAGTCCCCACCTATCATCAACATTGACAGGTTTACTGAGATTTTTTGTAATTTGTAAATCTTATATGCTAGCTATTATATTGCATTTTCAAAATTCTGCAACAACATGGGTTCAAATATTCTTTGTCATTATTAGACTTGGTGACAAATCTGCAACAGATGTAGATGTCTCAGAAGGAGTGTTGATTTATGAGCAGACAGTAGATGCTTTGTCAGCCTTGTGGCATTACAATGACACAGAGTCCCATATTGTGAGGGCTTGGTACTCTGTTGGTACCTATCCATTTGGTCAGGACATTGCAGAGAGAAAAGAAATAACAGTATCATCAACATTATCAAGCTTCCTTGCCAACAATGAGGTCACACCTGATGTTACAGGTAAGATGATTTCAAGGTCACCTTTGTTACTACAATAAATTTATTGCATATATATTTTTTTAAAATTAAATGAGACTTACACAGAAAATTTATTATGTAATGCCATTGTGACCTCCTATTTTACATTAGGGATTTCCCATAGCAAAAAATGGACTTTGCTTTTAAACTGCTATGGGAATGGGGGTATTAGTTTGTGAGCTCAGTGCTAATAGTAACTCTAGTTCATTCTATATCCATTCATAATCTATTAAAAAATACTAGGGATGTCAATTTTACTTAACACATCGAATAGTCGAAATGCTTTAGTCGAACGAATCAATATTCGTTTAATCTAATGATTTTTTCATATCATTTTCATTGTTTGTCTTTTACAAACTACATGTAGTTTACAATATTTAACCTACGCTGTCACCATTATACAACAAATACGTACGTAGTAAAATTATAAAAACTGTTCATCAATATTTATCCAATGTTTTAAATTTCAAAATTAATATATTAGCTGCACGTTTTATCTAAATGCAGGATATCAAATGCTCGTATAGTCCTTTCTTTACATAAGGGTAGTGCATATACATGTACCCCATAATTGAAGCCAATTTCTACGTGTCCGTCAATGATCTTTGACAGGTAAACAATTAAAGCAAGTTTTATAAAAACAAAGAGCGAGAGCGAGAGCTTGGGATAAATTTTTAATTATGAAATTTTGTGCAAACAATCAATGATTGTATGAAATTTATAGAATACACGGTTTAATTACTCTCATAACTGACCCCAATTTACATGTATTTACAATTTTGTAATAGCCGTTTAATTAATATTCTTTCTCAATAGTTGTATCACGTCAGATCTTAGTTTGAATCTACAAAACTATACAAATGCCCTCTCCATTTAAAAACAGTAAGAGGTAGACAATCATTAATAATTAATAAACATGTTTGATTTTCTTTCCCAATCTGCTTTTTTGTCATTTTTGCGGAGAACTTTACTTTATGAAAGTTTCACTCGAAGACTGTGTATATGTTTGACTGATTCGGCATAAAATCATTTTGATATTTACAAGTTTTGTTTCATATAATAAACAAATTACCTTTTTCTTTGCAAATAGATTTTGAATAATTTGCCGAACATACATCGACGTACAAATAACTTTTTTGAATGTTGTAAATTTTACATATGAAAAATATTTAAATGAAATGGGCAAATATGTTTATTGCCTTGAATTATTACTTTGAAGAAACACATTTTTAACGAATAATCTATATTTATATTTAACTTATTTATTTTATATATTAAAAAATACCCAAATGTTAAATCACATCTTTGAAATTTTATGAAATCAATATATACATGTCTAGCATATCCAAATTTGTTATCAGGAAAGCCCAACATCATTAGTGTATGGGCAGAAAACTCTGTAGGCCTGGTAAGCAAAACAAGAATATATCAAGACAGCACCAAATATAAATATACAGGTTTGTGAAGTCCTTATTTAGATTTGTCTGTCACAACAATGGGTATACAGATAGCTCTATGTATATTTGTCTTACTGTTTTACAGGCATCTGTTCCTGTTGTCTGTACATGGACAGGATTTATAGACACAGAATCGCCAATCAAGGAATACAAAATCATGATGGGACATTCAAAGGGAGACAACTCTATATTTTCTGGGGGTGTTGTTCCAGGCCACATTCAAACATTTTCTATTCAAGGTACAAATTGAATAGCTAAAGATTTCAAACTAATTTCAACAAAGTTGAGATAAGCTTATGCTATACCCTTTCTTCAGTTTGGAATCCATCCACAACTACAAATTTTGTGAAAAAGCAAAGTTCTTCATATCAATAAATACATAGGTGAATACATGCAATTTATTTGTGACGAGAAATATTAGCGAGTGGAAGAACTCATGGAGAGTTCTTGCTCACAAATATATATAAATATTGGTATGCAGCACTTATATTCATTTAGATGAGCTTCATGTTTTGTGATTACTTGATAATATGTATATAATATGTTGATCCGTGGTAGGCATTGGAGAAAAGATGCAGCATGGTGCCAAATACTACTTAACAGTGACAGCAGTCAATACAGTGGAAATGACAGGAAATGCTTTCTCTGATCCTATCGGGGTGGATCTAACTCCCCCCCAGAAAGGAATGGTGGTGGACCTTCACTCTGTATACAGGATTGATGCTACTAGCACAGACAACACTGTGGCTATGAATGCCAAGATCTGTTTGACAGAAGATGGTAAGTTTTGAAAGCAAATGTTAAATTCAGCTAAATTTCTGAGGGGGCATTTTGACACACATTCCATTTTTAGATCTGATAGTCAAAGACTGTAAGATCATATGCATAGGTGAAGTGTTCATTATCTGTCTGTCTTGTAAATAATTATTAAATCCTAAAGTACTCAAAGTGTAGGTTAAGTAACATTTTAGTAAAAAAAATTTTAAGTAAAAAAACTTGTACACATAAACATGATAAAAGTCTTTTTATCATTTTTTGTTTATTTCAATAAATGGTTTTGCCATGCTAAGAAACAGAAATACGTTCAGTTTTGGTCTGATTTCAATATACTTAGCCAAGATACATAGCAATATTCATTGATTTTTAATTAAATAAACAATATTTAAACTGTAAAAAAAAATTCCTTGAAATTATTCAAATATCAATACTCATCTTAAATTTTATTTCATTTAAGGTAGGACAAAACACCCATAGATTCTATTTTAACCCATTTCTTAAAAAGTACTGGAGGCAAAAAGAGTAATATTACTATACTGACAACAATGAATGATCCCTGAAAGAAAAATAATAAGTTTTGGCAAATTTGCGTTATATTTTTTGAAAAAATCAGAGAAACCTATATATTGGTCATTTGGGAGGTTACATTTTGGAATGTGTTTACGCTATCTAAGTGCAATAAACAAGCATGTAACAGTCTGTTATAAAATGCAGTGCAACTTTTGTTCCATAAATAGTATAGGACTGATGAACGGTGTTGCCATGGTTACTAAAAATAGAATTTTCTGTGAAATTCCTTTAAAACGCTACTCCTTCTACAGTTTTGGTCTGATTACAATATAACTTGGCACACATGTAGACTACACTAAGATACATAGAATAGTGCATCGGTTTTTGATTTCCATGAACGGTGTTGCCATGGTTACTAAAAATAGAATTTTCTGTGAAATTCCTGAAAAATGCTACTCTTTCTACACTTTTGGTCTGATTTCAATATAACATGGCACACAAGTAGACTACACTAAGATACATAGAATAGTGCATCGGTTTTGATTTCGATGAACGGTGTTGCCATGGTTACTAAAAATAGAATTTTCTGTGAAATTCCTTTAAAACGCTACTCCTTCTACAGTTTTGGTCTGATTACAATATAACTTGGCACACATGTAGACTACACTAAGATACATAGAATAGTGAATCGGTTTTTGATTTCGATGAACGGTGTTGCCATGGTTACTAAAAATAGAATTTTCTGTGAAATTCCTTTAAAACGCTACTCATTCTACACTTTTGG